GTACTTTTTTTATGTTAAGGAGGTACTCATTGATTCTTATTTTATTGACTGCTGTATTAGAAATGCATGCTCAATTCTTTCAAATGTCTTTTCAGCATCTATGGATAGGATCATTTGATTTTCCCCCTGTATATCTAATATTATAATTAACTCAGTTTTTGCATGCTACATACTATTATAGTCTAGTTTGTGGCAACTTTTAGGTTTCTGAATTTTGGCTTTGCTTAAAGTTTAAAAAATGCAGAACCTTATTTTTATAGATATATAGAAAAATAACATTTCTCTAATGAAATGCAGGTGACTTGGGAGAAAGGGGAGAACGTGGCCCTCCAGGAAGAGGCCCCAAAGGTTTGCCCGGAGCTACAGGCCTCCCAGGTAAGTGTTTTGTATGGCAGGATGAGGTCCAGAAATTGGTAGTGAATGGATGGTCTGATTGGGAAACATTTTAAAGAATTGCTCTCTGATGACTTAAAGCATATCAAGTGATAATAATGGCTGGGCATCAGTTTTTCAAGACCACCTTTAATGAAGAGTTAAATGATCTAAATCATATCTGCATTCTTTGTGAGAAAATAAATGCCAGGACTTGAAATATTAATTTGTTTAATAGATCTTTAAAAATTGTTTCAAGGTCTAGCCACAATGCACTTGCTATAAAATTCTGAATGAATGGGGTCCTCTCCGTTTCTAGCCCAGTTGATAGTTTCCTGTTTATTTTAACTAAAAAGTCAGAGCAACAGGAAAATTAGTCCAAATTTTCAAACTATTCAGACTATTCATGTTGTGCAGGTAGTAACTGAAATTGTATGTTGAAAGCTCCCGTTTCAAACATCCTGACCCTCCAGAAACCCATACCCAAATAAATAAACAAAGAAAAAACTTGAACATTCAGACTCGTAGCCACAAAGAGACATGCACAAGCCATATATCACTGTGGTGTTGACTGCGGCCACAAAGTAGCCTCTGTGTGAAGAGCCTGGATTCTCTCACTGGGAGTCTGTTCTCTCTTTACACACTGGTTACTCTGTGCCCTGGAGTCCAGGCTGCAACACACTCATCCACTGGGAAATGACTTGCGAGCCCAACCACAGAAGAAACAGAGCAGGACCGGAAGCCAGTTTAAGAGCATGAATGACGTGCTGCCTTCCAGAAAACTTTTATAGCCACTCAGGAAGGCTCCCAAGGTGAGAGGGGTGGTGCAGAAAAAGGGTGGCACATGCTTCCACAATGGATTTGGAAAACGTGTTTTAGGGAAATTTAGAAAAAGAAATGATCATTTTCTAATTCTGCCACAGGTTTACAGGTTTTCATATTCAATTATGGCTATAATTGTAGCCCCAAACATAATTGCTTCCTAATTATACATTTCATTGCTTCTGGGAATTGCTTTCTCATTAAAATATGTTTTAAAAATATGAATACATTTGGCGATAGCTTAAACACTGCCTTTCTAAAACTGTGGGTCTGTCAAGGTGTTTTCACAAATTGATAAAGTTTTGTGATTGAAAAAGGAAACTTTCATGATTGGAAAAGGAAAGAATCTGGTTTGGAACTAAATGGGCCAACAAAAGAATATTTAGATAAGTCCTTCATTGATGGATGTTTATAAGAGACAAAAAGGAAATACAATTTACTGAGTGTTTTTCTCTTTTACCAATAGTAGCAATTGGAGGTTGTAAAGCTGATAAAATATTATCATTAGAATGTACTTAATTATCTATATATGTATAGGATAACCTTACAATTTCTCATTTTCCCATTTTGTTGACAAATCACTTAAAAGTTCTTGGACCAGTGACTTGCACTACTAGCAAGATTTTCCTTTATCAAAAATATATTATGGTTTCTTGTGACTCTTTAAAAAAAAGTTTTGATGAACCACACTTTAAATTTAGAAATGGGAAGATTGAGGAAGACCCGCTCTGTGTGTACAATGTCCCAAAATGCCATGAGAGGGCACATTCTTGCCCACATGCAGTAACCCACTGGCGATCCCCGAGTCTGACTGGAAGGTGTTCACAAGCGCTCCTGGGTCACTCATTGCTCTGTTAAAAAGGGGCTTGACTGATTTGCTTTTTAGTGCATCAGACATCCATGTATGGGCAAAATGGTAAGGACAAGCTCATCACTGGCAGCTCTACCTGGCCCTCATTGTGTCTCCCTTATGAAAAAATTAAATTTGTTACAGCTAGTCTTAGATTTAATACTTAAATCTGATTTGTTAAAAAAAAAGCTATGGGCTCTTTTTCTCAGGACTCCTAAGACCAGCCCTTTTCCTTTCTGTCTTTTTTGCCAGTCCTGGCCCCTTTCTTCCTGGTACCACTCTAAAATCTGGTCTTTCTTTTTCTGGGCTCTCATTACATTTTCGTTGAGAGGATATTGGACATTATTTAGTGAAAAATCTGAGTTCCAGATTACTTTTTAAAAATGAAGGCTAACTCTCAAAAGTATGAAGTTTTCTATGTGTTTTAGCACACAGGGGCCATGTTTATCACATTCTTTGAGGCACCAGCTGGGAACTTTGGATTTTAGGTCAGCTCACATTTTCTTCTCTGTATAAGTATGCCCAGCTAACAATTTCCCAAATCTGTCAAGTTCTTGAACAAGAGCTTTTTATGTCATTCCTCCTCTAAAGCTAGTACTCCAAATGTGGGCTATTGGGAGTGTGGGCTCCGCAAGTCAACCATCCTGAGTTCAAATCTTGACTCTCACTTGCTAGCTTTATGACATTGGGCAAGTTACTTAATTGCTCTGTGTTTCAGTTTCCCCATTTATAAAATATCGGTAATTGTATATCCGTGATAGTGTAATTCTGAGAAATCAATCCATGTAAAGTGCTTAGGATAGTTTCTGGCCATGGTAAGTGCTCAAGAAATGTTTGTTATGATTACTATTATAACTATAACAAACCCACTTTTGCTCTTTGAGGCTGATGAAGGTGAGCTGGGGACACAACTGGACCCTAGTTAAACCCTTGCAGCCTTTTTCTTCTGCTCTCGATGGGCAATAAGAAGCTATTCTTCTCCCAGTCAGCACCACTCCTAACACCCCAAGACCTTCCCTCCACAAACATCTACTTCAACTCCAAATCACAAATGCCAAGTATTGACTGGCAGTAAATTATTTCACTGGTTAATTGTCCACTGAGAAGCTGGGCCATTTTTAATTTCCCTGGTAGAGGCTGGAATGTGATTAGGATGTGATTTCTGGCCTCTGACAAACATAACTGAAATAGGATGTTAGGTCCTGGAGGAACCTTCAATATTACTCTGCAGGAGCTCTCTAGTACCTTCTAGGTAAATCCATATCTTCTCCAAATGAAAGAGCCTGCAGAACAAGATATTCTACAACCTTCTTTGTTGTCCCTCATATTGGATTTGGGACTCAAATCCTCCTGAGTGGAAAAAGATCATTTGGTCATTCTTTGTGCTAACATATCTGATATATTTGGAAAAAAAATGTAACCCATACCTTCCTATCAATGATCAGAATTCCTTTATTCTTTCTGGACAGTTTTAGTTCTCTGTCTCCCCTTCCTGTCTCTCAGTTTGTTCAGTGCTAAGTATTGCATGGCCCTTTGGGGTTGTAGTGCTGCCTTGCCTCACAGGGACCATAGATTATTATTATAACCATTACATTGACTGCCATTTTGGCTGCAGTGCTGTTGTTGAAAAAGGACACATATGTCATCCAGTTTGTTTCTCACAGTCAGAAGCAGGCAGGGCAGGTATTTAAAAAGTCTGGGCTCTGGAGCCAGGCTGCCAGGGTGTATGCTTGCCTTTTTACTTATTTTCAGCTACTCTACTTCTCACTGCTTCAGTTTCTTCTCTGTATAAGGGGAATAATCACCACAACTACCCTATCGATTTATTTAGGAGGATCTATGTATATATCACTACATGTAAAGCACTTAGAATGGTGCCTGGCTTATGGCAAACATTCTGCAAATTTAGCTGTTATTATTATTGTTATTCCTCTTTTTATATTTAAGGAAATGGAAACTTAACGAAGGTCACATGTCCTGACAAAGGTCTCTCAGGTGATAAGTGATAGAGACAAGTATTTATGCTTCCTGCATCCAGGTCCACTTAGTAGACAAAATGATGGGGTGGCTGTCCAGTAATATGAGCAGTTTGTCCTTTGCAGCCCAGCCATCTAACTTCAGTATGTCCCATTACCACTTAGTGATTCCCTTTCTTCCTCTCTCACAGAGCTGTGGGGATCACATTAGAGACCCCTGAGATTTAGAGTCTCCCCAACCCCTGACCCAACGTTCGGTTTCTTACCAGAGACCTTTAGTGCTATTACCTGATTAAGTCATCTAATTATGGGTAACTCTATGTCTGCTGCCCCTTAACTTGCCTGTTTATTACCAGTTCCTTGACATTCTGAGGACAGTAAGGAAAAATATTTAACAATGGGTCCTGGCTCCCTCTGTGTGCATTCACATTTACAAGGGAAAGGAGTAAGTTAAATGAGGAGCCGTATATATGTGACCACCAGGACTGTGCCTTGTGAGCTGAGTTGCTTTTCCCTTTCTGGACATGGAGGATAGAGCAAGCTTTGTGCTGGGACACAGTAGGTGAATGGGCTATTCAGGTTTCTAGTGCGAAATATGCATATAGGTGAGCTTTGCTTGTGGATATTGAGTGGGAAAAAAAAAATCCAACCAAAAACAAAGGGCGCACTCAGTTTAGGCTTAAGTTTAGCCGTAGTCATCTATTTCCATTGCTGCAGCTATTTTGTTTGGTGGTGGGGATCTTATATAAACAAACCATTCACATCAATTTCTTAAACAGATATGCTTTGTCAAATACCACAAAAATAAGTTCAGTATAAGGTGAGAAATATAAGAGAGTCCCCGGCATATACAAAAATTTTACATAGCCAGTAGATTAATCATCAAATGCCCTCTTTAAGGCTAAAAATTATTTGCAGGGTTTTTTGTTTTGTTTTCCTTTTAAAGCCTGCATACACAGTCCCTTTCATTCTGTAGCTCATATTAGATCCTTAGCGATGGTCCAGCTGGGCTTGGCCTCCATTGATGTAACATGACTGCCCTCTCGTGTTTGCACAGGGAATGACATAGACATTCATTTTTAAAAATCACGAAATATTTGGCAACGTCATTTGGATAGGTCCTTGAAATTTTAGAAAACTGTGTAATCATTGGGCAGTTAGTGTGCTAACACACCCATCAGGCGGACAGAGCAGGATGAAAGCACTTCAGATATGTGCTTTCTGTTCTTAATACTTGAAAAGTAGTTTATAGATATTCAATGCAGCTACTGGACTGCTTGAATGACTTCTACTGTGGCATTGTTTTACTCCCAAATTGGGCTCTCGCACAATAATTTTAGAGCACGTTTGAGAGT